TGGCACGACCAATGGAGAACATCAATAAATCATCTTACTAATATTTAAATTTATTATGATGCTTTTATATTTTATCTAACATTTACTTCAACACATATATTCGATTAAGCTATTTATATTTAATAAGTAACACTTATAAAACATTTCTAAAACATACATGGCGAAATACAATTTATTTATTTTTTGCGAAATACAAATATTTCTATGATCACACTTATAAAACATTTCTAAATCCTTCAAAAATTTCTAAAATATATCGCTCCAAATACAAAATTTTATTTTTTTCAAATATAAATATTTCTAAGATCTACAGATAGACAAGGTCAGGGTCGCACAAATGCGCGACCAGACATCACTAGTATATATATAATAAAATTTCATGCTCAAATATATATTCACAAAAACTTCATTCTGCCTGAACGTGCGAAGCACATTCAAGCCCCCTAGTCCTAATAAATAATAGAAAAGGAAGCCATAATGTCGTATCTTCCTTTTCTTTGGTTTCACTGTCATATGTTTTGTAGAATCATATAACCCTAAATTATATGCTCCCTGCTCTTGTAATGCTCTTGTAATCACATCAATTCATATTCTCTGCTCTTGTAATTGCTGGAAAGAATTACGCGCCACCCCACCCTATTTTTTTCTGACCAGATTGAACTCATAAAGAGGCTGTAATTAAAAGTCAATGACATATCAATCTCATTGACTCCATTGAATCAGAGACTACGCTGTGATAGGCCATCTACAATGTCTGGCAACTTTGTTCTGGTAAGTTTTATCTCATATCAATTCAAATGAATTTCGTTAATATTTGTTGATTTAAATCCACCAGAGCAATTGAGCAATTCGATGTTGGGTTATCATCGTGGAATCATGAAGTACTTCGGATTCGCTGTGTTTAGCAGGCGAAGCGGGATTTCAGCAGAGGAATTTTGGGGGTTTAGAAAATGGATTGGGGGTTGGATCGTCAGACAATACTATCGATAGAGGATAGTTATATGCCAGTATAACTATCGAATGGTGGTGGTAGTGGAATCTGCGATGGAATCCGCAGACAGGGGGGGTAAAATAGTATCCAGATTTCTGCTACCGAAGCTCCACTCAATGTTTTCTCTGTTTGTAAAACGTGTTGTTTCTGCATTTAGTATTGAAAAAATTGCCATTTAATTCATGTTTTACGCGTGGGTGTAGCTTCAAGTTTGATTTCACAATAATGGCCATTTGATGGCTACAACTGGAATGAAGTGAACTATTTGGGATTCGAGGAAATTTATGGTCTTACAAAAATTTCATATCATAAGCCAAAAATTGTCTTTTGGGATTGACGGTGAGTATATAATTCTTGTTGAGAAAGATAGATTGCCTTTTTATGCTTTCTGTAGTATTATGAGTGATGTGTTATAATTAGATTAGGCACGCTCTAACTCTTGAATGTTTCTTTTCTATATCTTATGAGCAAGGTTTTCAAAATCGAGATTTCACATGGGACTGTTTGATGTCATAGGATCGGATCAGACTTTGGATCCGTAGGATCGTAAAATACTTTATACTAAAATTTATATTATATATTTATAAAATCTACTATATATAGATATTAAAGTGCAAGGTTCACTATTTCAATTATCTTATTTTTAAATCATTTTTTTCCGTGGGAAGATAAATTATTAAGCAAGAAAGTAGTTAAGCAAGAAATCAAAATAATAAATGCAAGCTGTAAATTCCCCCTACCGTAACCCCTTTCTCAGTCAAAATTAAAAACGAAATAAAAAGAAAGAGATAGAAAATTCGCCTCGAAATTCGGGTAATCTTCCTCATCCCCTTCACCAGTGGCCAAAATCCAATTTCAGGTATGCCAAAGGAAAAATAACAGAGCAACAATGTTTTTACATTTTCCGTATCATATTATGCTTATACAAACATCACAGACTCTTTAAACTCTAATTCTTCACGTTCAATCGTCCTCTTCACAATCATTGCTCTAATTATAGTCAAAAATTCGTTTTGCAGAGGATCGTTTGAACTCATCGGAAGTACGATGTTATGTTTTCATCCGATACTGAAGCAATTTCAAACCAAAAAAACTGATTCTCACCAATCCCATATCGATTTGGCAAATCCAAATGATCCCACGATCCGGATCGCGATTTTAACAACCTTGCTTATGAGTGCATAGAAATTTTCAGATGTGTTATAAAATTTATGTGCACTTATTGGCAATCTATGATTTTTCGCACAGAGTTTGGTACTTAATTTTAATGCCTAGAAATATTAGGAATAATAATGATGCGGCACCAACATGGTGACGTTTGTGTTGTATAATCCCTTAGATATGCTTATACCTTATTGGATCTACCTAGACTTAGGACATGTTTGATAATATTACTTAATGCTTAAAACTATTTGATTAAGCACTTTTTCATTTCAGTTTGTTTAATAACAGGAAATTGAATTTTTTAACGAATTAAGTTATGTTGAAACTGTAATACAAAATATAAGTAATAAAAATTAATTTATTGCTTATTTCGTAACTATTTAATAAATTTAATATTTCTAATTTAGTATTAAGTATTCAGAATTAAGCACTAATTTTTATAAAACAGATCCTTAACCTCCAAATCTATATATATTTATATAATGTGTTGTTGAAACTATTCATTAATGTTATGGTTAATCCCTTGAGTTTCTGTACGTAGTTGCCTTAAGTGTAATCTTTGCACGAATATAACATTTAAAATGAAGCAGGATTGGGTATTAGTAGTAGCAGACTTTCATTAGCTTTTCTTTTTTCCCCTTCCCCATTGGTTTCTTTGAACCAGTGCATTTGCATTGCATTTCCTTGACTTTAGTGATTGAGGGCCATTCTGATAAACATTGTGATCAGTTCCTATAAATTTAGAAATTTTCAAATGGAACTAAAATTTTGTGTACTCTTCTTTGTTTAAGTTTTCTAAGGTATCGATCAACTAAAATCATAATCTAAAATGGCGAGTGATATTGCCAGGACAGTTTTTAGCATCTAGAGCTATTTTTCCAAAATTACCCTCGTATGGAAGGTCATCTGTCTCATCATGAAAAAATTTTCTATGCACAAGAACTCCATGCATCCTTACCCTTAAGGAAAAAAAAAACTATGCATCCCACTCCTTATCTTTCTCGGCAAAACTTCAAAGTGATCGGGATTCATCATGAGCCTCCTTAACAATGGAGCAGCAACAACAAATCATTGGTATTGTTGTTTAAACTTTTATTTTTTATCCTTATATGCTCTCCCCCATCAGAAAGTCTCCAAAATTCAGGACGTAAACCTGTTTTAATCAAACCCCGAAATTCGAGAAGAATAACAAATTGAAGATGCACTTTACATGTCCGACGAAATGTCACAATGACAAACTCCTCTATCTTTCCCCATCATCGTGGGAAAGATGAACCCTTTGAAGTATTTCTGATTAGGAGAGTAATATATTAAGATGAAGAGGATGTTGTCACCTTCCTTGTTCCTTGATCCATATAATCATGGTTCTTGTATTTAGAAGATTGAGGACATATTGATGAGTGATGAGAGGCATCGTCGATTGCTAAAAAAATATTAAATCTAGACTTTTCTCAAGGCATGGAAACTAGAAGGAACACGATGATCCTCCCAACAAACTTCAGAGAAAGGTGTTGAAAGTGAGAGAGTGGGTGAAGAATTCTATCAAAATTAAGAGTCAATAAGGAAATTGCTTATGTATGTTTTTTTAAAAGCCGTAAGATCTGCTAGAAGAAAGCCTTTACAATCTAGGGTGCTTGACTTTTGGGTAAGCCAAACCCAAAAGTGTGGAACAAAAAATGTGTAGGGTTTTTTTTGTGGACAAATATAATGTTTTCGCGCTTTGAAAACGCGAAACAAGAAAATTGGATTAACAATTTGCGTTTCTGAAACGCGAATCATTTTAATCTTCTTTCCAAAAATTCGGTTGAGAGAAGAAATTGAATAAAAAAAGGCTAATCATTTTTCGCGTTTTGGAAACGCGAAAAATTGGATTAACAATTCGCGTTTCTGAAACGCGAATCGTTTTAATCATCTTTCCAAAAATTCCGTTGAGAGAAGAAATTGAATAAAAAAAGGGTAATCATTTTTCGCGTTTTGGAAACGCGAAAAATGGGTATAGCGTTTCAGAAACGCGAAAAATTATTTAAAATAAATTGCGGTTTGATAAGAATTTAGCGTTTTCAAAACGCGAAAAATTTCTTTTAGCGTTTTGAAATCGCGAAATATCCAGAAAATCTCCTCATCCACTCATTCGGCTCCACGTGTATTTTGATGATAAGTCTTTGAATGTATTTGCGTTTTGTAAACGCGAAATTTAAGATTTATATACTAAACCAAGCAAAATAACAGCATTTTTTCGTTCATTCTGTTCAGGTCCGATTTTAAGATTCTGTGAAAGCTCTCATTTCCTTCAATTTGAGAAATTGCTCCGAAGTTAAAGAAGATTAATTTGAGTCCTGAATCCGTAAAAGCTCTCATTTCCTTCAACATTCAGGTAAGTTAATTTCGTTATAGAAAATATGTACTTTTTTATGCCTTATTGTGAGCATAGGATGATTTACGCATTATTATTAGTTAATAAATAATTATGATTTAGTCAATTAACGGTGATTTTTTAATTAGGCTGATAAAGTGAATTGAAAGAAATATTAGTTAATAGAATGTTAAATTAGATTAGCGTTTTGTAAATTATTGTATATCGATTTCTGTAAAATAAAATAAAATTATAATAATGATATTGAATTTTTTAATATTTTTAGCATAAGAATAAATTATGTAATTCGGGCATAAGGTTTAGATTTTATATTAATTTTTAGCATAGAAATGAATTTGTAAATTCAGGCGTATAGTTGTTCTTTTGAAATTATTAAATCTGTAAACGGGGTAAATACTGTTTCTGCAGAACTAAAAATCAAAATGTATGCTAGTGTTCTGATTTCGTAGGAATTGATTTTGCAGGCCGCAAATGTCTTTCACGGAGATAGTTCGTCTGAAATTATACTGGAATACTACTTATACAACTGAACCTGATGGGACTATCACGGTACAGCGGGATGCGCCGGACAGTTATCTTATCATTGATCGTATGTTAGATTTCTCGGAACTTGTTGATAAGGTATGTGGTGTGATGGAAGTTGACAGAAAAGGGCTGTATATTGATTTTTCTTTGGTATGGACGGAGATGTCAGGAAAAAGGTCTCGTGTGCACATTAATGATGATAATACTGTTCGGTTCATTTATCTTTGTGCTGATAAATGGCCAGAATTGTACCCTGAAAATGTTGAGAGAACAGGCCATGTTTATGCAAGTACATCTGGCCAGGATATTGGTGCCAGCACTAGTGGTGGTAGAACAGTTGAAGACAATGAAGATGGAGATGAAGATGGAGATGAAGATGAAGATAAAGATGAAGATGCAGATGAAGATGAAGATGAAGATGGCGGGGGTGTCGAAAGCAGTGATGATGAGTACGTCCCATCGGATGAGGACTCAGATGACGACACTGATTTTGAGTCATCTTCTTCAGTCCCATATGTTTTCGACGACATAAGTGGATGGGACAAGACTTTAGAGGAAGTAGATTGTGATGGGATTAAAATGTGGGATGGCAATCCGTTGACGCTAGGCCTTGATATACATTTCGCCAACAAGCCCGAGGCACAAGCGGCGAGTGGGAGAATGGAACTTGGTACATGGTCGGACTTTCCGGTGAAAACGAGCTCTAAACGAACATGGTATGTCGAATGCGAGACGTGTGGACCCAAATATCCAAAAGAGCGTCTTCACGGCTATGATTGTCTGTGGAAGGCGCGAGTTTCGCTACAGAAGGCCACCGATACTTGGAAAATGGTGGTATGGTCCGATTCCCACAACTGTCTTGGGGCAAACAAGAGAAACGAGTCCAGAAACGTCACGTCTTCTATGATTGCTAGACTGGTTGCCCGAAATGTGCGAAAACATCCAGATTTTGCAGTTGCCCAAATTCAAATAGAAGTTTTGAAGAAGTACCAAGTCGAATATAGCTACAAGAAGGCATGGCATGGTAGAAGAAAAGCACTTGAGGCTCTGTATGGTACATGGAAAAGTAATTTTCAACAACTGCCCAGCTTCCTCGATGCATTGTTCATGTCAAACCCGGACACTTGTGTGCAATTCAAGTTTAAGGAAAATTCAGAAAGCTCGCAAAGGTTTGTATGTAGGTATGTTTTCTGGGCATTTGGGCCATCTATACAGTTATTTCATGCTTGCTGGCTAGTAATAACCATCGATGCCACTCACCTGCGAGGATCCTACAAGGGAAAACTAATTGTGGCATGCGTAAAGTGCTCAAATGGCACGATTGTTCCCATCACATTTGCTCTTGTGGACGAAGAGACTATACACAGCTGGAAATGGTTTTTGAAGTATTTGAAAAAGTTTGTTCTACAGGATAGGAAGACCTGTATTATCTCTTATCGAAATCAGGGTATCCTTACTGCCATGGACATCATGTTGCAAAAATTCCCAGAGATGGGAGTCCACCGGTATTGTCTAGAGCATGTTAAAGCAAACTTGGTTGGGCATTTTCGAAAGGAGAAACTGGGTAGCAACTGCCAAATGACTGGTTCAGCGACGCAAAAGACAAGGTTTTTGGCAGAGTGGCAAAAATTAGAAGAAAAAAATGAGCCTGCTGCTCGTTGGCTTCAGAAGCTGGGTGTTGAGAAATGGACCTGTTTACACGATGGAGGGCATCGTTAGGGTGAAATGACCACTAACATCTCAGAGAGTTTCAATAATGTGCTGAAAGGTGCTAGATTCTTCCCGATCATAGCATTGATCCTAGCATCCTTTCAGAAAAGCAACAATCTGTTTCAGGCAAACATTGATATGATCCAAAAATGTCAGACTGTTCTACCTCCTAAGCCAATGAAACTGTATGAAGAGGCCCGGAAGAAATCATTGAGGCAAAAGGTCAACCGGTTTAACAAGAGAAACCAGAAGTACGAAGTGGTTACAATAGCACTCGATAATCAACCATGGAAGGCTGAGGAGAAGCAAGTTGTGTTGTATGCAAATCGAGAGTGCACTTGCGGAAGGTGGCAGACTTTCAGATTTCCTTGTTCCCATGCACTTCGAGTTGCCCGTGAGCTAGGTGACGATCCCTTCCCACTTTTTGATCCATGTTACACTACGCATCAATGGTACCAGCAGTTTTCTAGAGAATTCAACCCAATCATGGAACCATGGCCAAAGGCAAAGTGGCAGATCAGGCCAGATGACACTAAACTTGTCCACCATGCTGGCGGAGGTCGGAAGCGTGTGAATCGGAAAAAAGGTGTGATGGATTATACAAGCAAATCTGGCCAGCGAAGACTCCAAACTTGCAGTTTATGTAAGCTACAAGGCCATAATGCCAGGGCTTGACCATATGCGAGAGTTTGCGCACGATGTGGAAGTTTAGATCATGATGCTGTGGAATGCCCTTTTTCTCATCCACCTGCTGACAGGACCGCTATTGATAAACTGTACGATCCATATAGAATTCATGGTGTGCCTAATATCAATTCTGATGATGATGATGATGCGTAGTGATGACTTTCCACATCGTCTGTTGTGATGATTCTGTTAGTGTTCGTATTTTTGTGTTGTTTTGAACATTCATGTAGTAAACCTCAAAGGATGAATCAGTTTGCGTTTGTATTTGTGTTAGTGTGTTGGTTTGGATGTTTCTGTAATTTATATTAGTAATATTGTTGAAAAAAAAAACGTCGCTGTTCATTTTAGTAATATTACTAATTATTACTATAGTGGTAGAGTGATATGATATATACATGTCGAATAAAGCACTAATTATGTAATAAACACTAAAGGGTAAGAAAATTAATTATTTGTTTATTCATCACCGAATAAATAAAAGACGTTTTGTTTTTTAGTTATACCCCAATAATCGCGTTTCTGAAACGCGAAAAAAAACAAGGTGAACATTGTTTTCGCGTTTCTGAAACGCGAAAATAGGGAGAGGAGTGGTTTCGCGTATTATATATTCCATGGTGCACAGTATGATATAGGAATTTTGGAGCCCAGGCGCGTAGATAGCGCCGCGTGGAAATTAATAAAAGATGCACCGAGGTTGACAAAGGAATATATTGAGAAATTTGATTTTGGACCGTTCTCTAGAGTTGGGTCCATAAGATGTGACCATGCCCTGCTTACAGCTCTTGTGGAGCGATGGCGCCCAGAGACCCATACATTTCATTTACCTTTTGGGGAGGCTACTATCACACTCCAGGACGTCGAGGTTCTTTTGGGTCTTCGGGTTGATGGACGTCCAGTTACAGGACATCACACCATGCCTGATGGTGGTTGGGCAGCCTATTTGGAGAGGATGTTTGGATTTAGGTTCCAGACAGAGGAGTCTAGATTGACGAGCGTTTCCATCACTGAAATAAAGACTCACATAGAGAATAATCCTTTGACGGACCTGTCCCCTGACGATGCACACCTACAGTGAGCCCGTTGTTTTGTTGGATGGCTCGTTGGCGGATTACTGTTCTCAAACACTACGAGAAACAGTTTTCCTCTCGATCTTGTGCATTTTCTTCATACTCCCGAGATTTGCTCGGAGTACAGTTGGGGTAGTGCGGCACTATGTTACTTGTACCGCAGCATGTCCAAGTCATCTCTGGCCGCTTCTGCCAAGGCTATTACCGGCTGTGTGATTCTTCTTCAGGTATTTTATCTTTTCATTTCTCTCTAGTTTCATTTTATATTCTCCCATTATTATTGGTGATTTTAGCTAATGATTTCTTCATTCTGAATTAGCTCTGGGCCTGGGAGCGGATTTTGACGGTTCAGCCCAAGATACTGGGTGGGGATCTCGATCTATCTGATTGTCCATTGGGCACGAGGTAATCTTATACATCAAACCTTCGTAAATTTTGACATTTTGATTTGTACTGTCATGTCTCAATTTAATGTTACTTTCTCCGTGCAGGTGGTCCCGTGAGAAAAAAGTTCAAGGTATCACGCGGTTCAATTTGGCCGCGTACCGGGATCAGCTTGCAGTTCTCGCAGAGTCTGATGTTAGTATTCTATTCAATTAATATAACTTATGTTTTTTTTAACGGTGTCGGACTTTTAATTACGCGTCTCTTACTTAATTACCATTGCAGTTTGTATGGATGCCGTACACGAGTCTTTTGGGTCGTATTGCCAGGGTTTGTCTTGTGGGACAGGGCATATAGCGATCTCAGAGATGGCTCATCTGCAGTGATGTCATTGCGCCACACAACCCTAGTAGGGTATTTCGCCAATTTGGTTATCACCAGGGGATACCCGGCGACGCATTACTTCTCACTGCGGCGGAAATTACTAGCCTGCTCAAGAGGAAGCCGTTTGGAGGATCCGATAGGAGATGGTTACAACAACTAGGGATATATCTCCAGGTTTGGAATGATCGCCACGGCCAACTTGTGGGGACTGATGATGATTATGTTGGCGAGCCTTCCGCAGATCCAAAGTATCTCTTGTGGTACCATCAGATTACTGTGAAGTATGTTACGGATCCGACGGACTCTGAAAATGCGAGGGGTTTTCACGGTTCTGCAGAGACCTTGCGCCTCATGGTGAGTATTTCGCCTACAGTCCATTTGGTTCTTTTTATTAACACTGTTGTCGATTTATGATTCTTTCTAATAAAAATTTCAGGCCACATTGATGGAGGACGTTCGTAGTCTGAGTATTATAGGCCAGCGTACTTTCGACACGGATTCCTTTGGTTATGATCGCTTAGGCGAGATTGCCCAGGTTGCTGAGCGGGCGTTGTCCGTCAATGCAACAAATGTTGTACGTCACGATCTCGATAGGCATGTTGAGGTTCATGACATTTTGAGTCAAGAACTTGCACCTGTAGACCCGACCCAGCAACATCCACCACCTGCACCTCCGAGGCGTTCGCGCGGGTCTCGGCGTGGGCGTGGGGGCAAGAGACAATCACATCATCTCGGCCACATCAGTCCTCCCAAAGCATGAGCGATCTCATATTCCCTTCACCGCGGTTCATCCCATCGGTCTCCACATCGATCTCCACTCCATTCTCGACAGATTCAGCCCATCGGTCTCACATCATTCATCCCATCAGTCTCCACATCATTCTTCGCCGACCCAACGGGCGTTTTACCGTCCGATTATGTCTCCCAAGACCAAGCAGTCCAATTTTGCCTTCACTCGCTTTTCCTCCCCGACTTCTCGGCGTCGGTTTGGAGATTCTTTTATTGACTTTTCCGGGTTTCAGCAGAGTTCGCTAGATGGCCGTCGATACATTACACGAGTAACTTTCTTTCGAGTATGTTCGAGGTGTTGCGGGTCGACATCAGTGATGACCCACCGAGGTGAGCGTGAGTCGGGGTGAAGATGAGGCCGAGGATGCAGACCAGGATGATCAGTTTGAGGGTCAGGGTTATCAGCGCCATGAGGAGCAGGGATCGAGTCAGACTCTAGGGACTCCACCGTTGGCTGTGAGTAAAGACCAGAGAGTGACGAAAGAGCCCGATAGATTGACTTATAGCCTTTTTCGGGCTAAAAAGCCCAAGAAGAAGTAGGGTACTAGACTTCTTATGTAGTATTATTAGACTTGTATTTTTTTTTTCCCTTTTGTTCATTTCTGTTTTTTTTCCTTTTGTTATTACTTGTTTAATTTTTTTTTACCTTTTGTTATGACTTGTAGTATTTTGTTATGACTTGTATTAATATTCTTAATAGTTTGATTTCACCTGCATCGTAAATACAATAATTAATATTTATAAAACACATCTTCGCCGATCAAATCGAAACACATATTTAAACTTTCTTATATTTTTTTCCATAATTAATAGTTGCTTCATCTTAAATGTTGGTAAATTATAATAAATATTTAATAAAATTTATTCCTATTTTAAGCTTTTTTCTTATATTAAAACCATCATAATTAATAAAAGTAATTTGTAAATTAAATTACATCTCATTAAATCCATAAAATTACGTCATTATCATTATTGAAAATTTTTCATATAAAATTATTTTTTAAAATAATGATTACATTTTTAATAAAAATTTTTAATATAATCATTATTAAATTTTTTTATATAATGTTCTAAAAAATTAATACATTATAATAACTATATCATACTTTTAATAATTTATATTTAGTATAGCTCTATTTAATTTAATGAGTATCAATTATAATATTATATTCTTATTCAAAATTTAATTTTCGTATTATTAAAATTATCAATATAATTTTCCTCTTTATAGCTCTATTCAAAATTTAATGATTAACAGTTATAATTTTAAAATTTTCTGTTACCATTATTCAAATTTAATAATTTTTTGAAGTCAATTTCCCTATAACGTTTTAAACAAGTCAAATTAATCATATTTTTATGCCTATTTCCTTTTTATTTAAATAAAATATATTTTAATTGATTTCGCGCTTTGAAAACGCGAAATCTTATCTATTCAAGTTAATTAATTAGGATTAAGTTAAATTAATTACGTCTTCTTATTTTTCGCGTTTCTGAAACGCGAAAAACATATATTAGCGTTTTCAAAACGCGAATTTTGGTTTTTAACGTTTTCAAAACGTGGATTTTGATTTTTTCGCGTTTCTGAAGCACGAGAAAGCTATTTTTGGGCTACAATTTAAACCCTAAGCATATTTTGTTCTTCATTTTTTTTTTCAGCTATTAATAAGTAAATTTTCCTTAAAATCTATCAAGATTAACCGTTGACCTCCTTCGAGGGCAATTCTGGAGAAGAAAGAAAAATTACCCTGGATGCTAAAAATTGCCCTGGCAATATCCCTGCCTTCATCTAATTTCAAAAAATTTTATGTAATAAAGGAGTCTTTGACTAATTCAAAACAGATTACTGATGAAGATATTTCTAACCTTTTGAGTGTTATAAAGCCCTCTCCAGACCATTTAGTGTTTACAAGAGAACTTTTTTGTACACTATCTTTCTCAACTTTAACTGCAATAAACTGTTTCAAACAAGAAGATAGAAAAGAAGCAAATAGCACTAGTCGCTTTATGAAGGAAAAGAAACTAATAACAAGATGAAGAAAATAAATATATGACCATTTGAAAACTGCAAGATAGGTACCACACTGTTATCGCTAAGATATAGTTCTTTGATAGTGAAGTTGCTCTATGTTTGATAACATAATTGTGTTTCAAAAATTATGTTTTTCGCTCATCAATTGTCTTAGTTGTTCTACAGTATGTTTCAAACCTTGTTTGCACCTAAAAAATATCACAAAGTAACCTAGCGCAAAAAACAACGTCACAAACCACTCCTTGAATAATTCAACAAACATATGTCTTACTGATGCTCATTATTTATTATTTCTGTTTCAACTACTGCATTATTTCCATTCATTCCAACAAAAAACACAAATCAAACATCCAATATAAGAACTGGATGCGCGTAGTTCGACATTACCAAAACCAGTAATAATAAAAGGAACAAAAAAAAAAATAAGAAAGAGATAAATATGGAAATAATTATACCAAAATCTTAAAGAAGGGTAACACTGGTATTGAGAAAAATGTTGCCCTTAACATTATAAAATTTCTCCCATTACATCAACTGTCAATTCGAACATGTAAAATCTAATTTTTATACTTTGAAATAATTTTTGTCACGCACGTGAGTTGACCGAAGGTTATTTGTGCATATCTCGTGACAAAAGAGTTGACCATTATTTTTTGTGAAAACATTAATAGAAAACTTTAACTTTTTAAACTTTTGGTTCCGAGCAAATATAGTAAGCAACATTGTGTTACAATATGTGTAATTGATTGTTTTATTTTGAAACCCTTTTTTTGTTTTGATTTAGTTTGATTGTGTTAAATTTTGATTTTTAATTTTAAAAGGATCAGATTTCAATAAATTACGATCTTCGTATAGTGATCAACGAAATACAACAAAGCATTTCCAGATGTTAATCTACCTCTACATATAAAAAGTATGTTTTTCACATTACACGCGTGGTTTTTTGGTAGTATTCTCACATGTCGAAGAGTATATATGGTCTTTTTTCTCTTTTCCTTTTCTTAATTCTTTCATCAGTTTTGATGCTTTTCTCAAACACAATCCATTGTTACTCTTCCGTTCACTGTTGTAATCCATTTCTGTAATTCACTATCGGTGTTATTATTATTTCATTAATTATTTTGCCAGTTTAAAAAATTAAAATTTGATCATCAAGAGTGGGTTGCACATGTATCATTATTATTCATTGATCTTCTCCACTCTTTTATTTTGTTTATATAAATTTTTGCTGGTCGTGCACTTTTTTGCTTGGTGAAGAATGTTTTTATATTAATTTAGAATTGTTATTATGGTTCTTCATCAGAAATTCAAACCAGAAACTTTAAAAGAACAGGGAAAATTTGGCTTAAGGGTAATAGAAATGGTCAAATTAATAATAGGGGTATGACCATTAAATAATTTTTATTAGGGCTGTAAATTTTTATTCAAAAATCATAAAATTAAAATACTCATGCTTTGACATAATTATCCTTATTATTGTTTCTTCCACACACACAAAAAATATTAAATTGAAATCCTTTTCTTACGACACAAATACAAGCATAATTTATAAAAATTTAAGAACCAAATTAAATTTGTTCTGTTCGAGTCTTCATTTGAAGAATTCAACACTTCTCTCCCCGTCGGTTTCCCCGGTTTTCACCATTAAAGCCGGCGCCTCCTCTCTCCCCGGCGTTCTCCCCGTTTTTTAGCCATTGTTCCCGGCGTCTCCTCTTCCACAAAAGGTAGGTAAGTGTTTTGTACTTCATAATACTTTGTTTATTTTCAGATTTATGTCGTGTTATTTTGTTTTTGTTCTAGTTTATTTATTCCATTGATTTCTCGCATTTACGGCCGGCGAATTTAGATCGACCGGAGTTGTTGTCGCCGGCGTTGTTGTTTTTGTTGTTGTTGTTGTTGTTGTCGGCCAGCGTTGTTGTTTTTGTTGTTGTTGTTGTTGTTGTCGGCCGGCGTTGGTGTCGGCCGGCGTTGTATTTTTTTTTTGTTTTATTTTTATTTAATGTATTTAGGGTATTTGTATTATTTTTTATTATTTTTATTTAGTGTATTTGTTTTAGTTTGTATTATATTTATTTAGGGTATTTGTATTAGTTTGTATTATATTTATTTAGGGTATTTGTATTAGTTTGTATTATATTTATTTAGGGTATTTGTATTAGTTTGTATTATTTTTATTTAGGGTATTTGTATTAGTTTGTATTATTTTGTATTATATTTATTTAGTGTATTTGTATTTGTTTGTATTATATTTATCTAGTGTATTTGTATTTGTTTGTATTATTTTGTATTATATTTATTTAGTGTATTTGTATTTGTTTGTATTATTTTTATTTAGGGTATGGAGACGGGATCATCATCGTCTTCGCAGTCTAGACAATATGACCTCCAGCAGGGTCCTATAGATAAGAGTTTATTGGTCCTTCATGATGATCATAGGTCATTCCATACATTTAGGGGTAATACGACTTATTTGAAAGAACTTTCCGCATACCGAGTGGATACTGACCTATGGCCTGAACTAGACAAGGCTGCCCCACAGATACATGCCCAAATAGCAAAGTTTGGTCTAGGGCCTCTTTTTCGAATTGGTTCTATTAAGTTAGATTGGGCCCTCATTACAGCCTTAGTTGAGCGATGGCGGCCTGAGACCCATTCATTTCACTTGCCCGTCGGAGAGGCGACGATTACTCTACAGGATGTCGAGGTCCTTATGGGTCTGCGGGTTGATGGCCATGCAGTGGTTCAGGGGACAGTACCTCCACAGGATGTGGAGTGGGCCGATTATTTAGAGAGTCTGTTTGGATTCTGACAGCGTCCTAAGGCCACGAAGGATAAGGTAGTAAACATCACAGATATAAAGAAACACATTATGACTAATCTGCTACCCGGAGATGCTACAGAGGATATGTACCTTCAGCGGGCACGTTGTTTTGTCAGATGGATTTTAGGAGGGTTATTGTTTCCTGATAGCAGCAGAAACAGTTTTCCCCTGGGCCTGGTGGGGTATTTGGAGGACCCAAATACATTTCGGGAGTTTAGTTGGGGTAGTGCTACACTGGCGTGCTTGTACCGAAATCTATGCACTTCCTCAGTGATCACATTGTCTGGACAGGGTATTTGTGGCTGCTTACTACTCTTACAGGTAATTTCAAACCGCCCTTGTATTTGTATTTGATTGTTAGTTTTTTATTCATTTTATTTTAATTTTTTTCGATTTATTTTATTTTCCTTATTTGTAATTTTTTGTTATAATCCTAATATTTATAATTGTATTTTATTTTTAGTTTTTTAATTATTGTATTTGTATTTTTAATTTCACGTATTATTTTATTGCAAAATAGTTATGGGCTTGGGAGCGGATATTGACTTTCCGTCCGGAGTTACGTGGGCCCGTACCAGATCTTCAGGGGTGTCCCTTGGGCAGGAGGTAATTAATTTTCAACTATTCAATAATTATCTTAATTAGTTATATTTTTTAATAATTTTTTTCTGTTTTTTCAATCAAAACTATATTTTTTTGTAGGTGGAACCGTCCTAGAAAAGTGGGAGACATCACACGATTTAATCTAACCGCCTATCGAGACTAGCTTGCGGTTTTGCAAGAACATAACGTAAGTATTTTTTATTTGAACCATCATAACGTATAAATCAATTTATTTTTTTTCTTATATATTCACATAAATTTTTTGTATTATCTGTCCCTCTACAGTTTGTTTGGATGCCGTATTCTCCTGCTATTCTAGCAGACATTGATCCATCTTGCTCTGCCGGCTCCGCCATATGGATGTCCCAGACTTGGCTGCTTTATTTTGGTATCCGAGAGCCACACATCCCAGGCAGGGTGTTGCGCCAGTTCGGCTTCTTGCAGCGGGTGCCTGACAACACTTTCATCATGGAGAAAAAAGAAATAGAAAAGTTGCATAAGGAGACGCATGGTAAGAAATGTCGAGATGACGTCTTACAGAGGTGGGAGAATCGACACAACACCCTTGCAGGTCTTCAGACGGATATGACTCTTGAACCCCAGGCAGCACCGGAATATCTAGTGTGGTATCAAAATCACACTGTCACTTTGGTCACCAATCCATCAGACTATCGTCAGCCCCAGGGTTTTCAGGGATCTGCTGAGTCACTACATATAATGGTAAGTTACAGTTCTACTATTTCTTTAATCACACCCATATTAATATGATTTTTATACATATAACTTTCTAAAATGTTATTTCCTATTTTTAATTTACCATATATATGTTCATTTATAAAATATATTTATTATATATTTTTAATTTACTATATATATTTATTTCCTTTTATAGTTTTCAGGCCAATTTAGTGCAAAACATGCGGCATATTACTCTAGATGGGCTACAACGTAATCCAGTTAATTCTTGGAATCACAATGCCTTCCTACAGCTGCACGATTTGACACAGCAGGCAATGACTGTCAGCAAGACATCTGTTTGGGCTGATAGTGAGAACCCAAGCCAAGATTTTGTTCCAGCTGACCCAACCCAGGAGTATATCCCACCTAGGCCTCCCAGGACTGACCGAGGCGGCTTCCAGTTAGGGAGTGGGAGAATGAGAAAACCTGTGGCCACCCAGAATACCGGCGGGCAATCTTCTACCCCCCATGTGTCTCCTTACCGTCCAGCATCGCCACACCACCATCCCTCTCCTCCTTTTGAGCAAATGCATTTTGATTCAGATTTTATTAATCTAGATCCTAATGCTGGGGGTTTCTTTGAGACTAGTTACGAGGGTGGTCATCATAGTCAGCATCTAGGTGGTGACGATATCCATCATGATCAGGAAGATGATCAAGATCATGAGGATATTGGGGATCAGGAGCATGATGATGATGCTGATGATGCTGAGCATTCCTCTCATGATCATTATGAGGGCGCTGATCAGGGACAGGGCCCCAGTGATGGTACCATGCCTTTTACACCGATTGCTTTGGGTAAGGGACAGCGGAACATAAAAAAGAAGAAAAAGTGCTGCATGACAGATTCTCAGGAGAAAAAGCGCAAGATGTAGAACTATTAGATTGAATTGTACTTTTATTTTATGCTATTTTATGACTTTTGTTATTAGTTTTAAGCAATACCTTTCATTTATTTTCATTAACAATTTATTTCGGTTTTATTTAATCTTTAAGATTAAAAAAAAAATTTAAAAGGCAAACATTAAAGAATTTCTCAAAAAGACAATATTATGTACAATTTTTTTAACTCTTACTTTTATAAAATACTATCTTTTTCGTCGTGCCAAATTCAAGTTTCCAGGTCGCCAAAAGATCATTGTTAGAAGGAAGTGTGGTTTTATCAAGTTTAGCAGGACTGATTATGTCAGATTCTAAAAGTTTTAGTTTTTTTGCTTACTTTAAATGAATTGATTCTAAGTTTTATTATGTAAAAAATATTATTATCCTAAAATTAATAAACTTGATTTTTTGACATTATATTTTTAATGATGGTAAGTTTTTAAATTGAAATCAAATAAAAGTCAATTTTTTTAAAAGCAAACTTGGTTACAGAACGCAAGATTATATTCTAATTTTTCATCGAAATTTTAATTTACTTCTCATTCAAATTTTATTATAAATGCATTATACGATTTCTGTTCACCAAATATAATTTTTAGGATTGCAATTCTATTTAGAACTAACATAAATTTACTTAAATCAAATGAATACTTTAAATTTAGAAAATTTAATTTTCAATTAAAATAGTATTTTTTTGTTGAAATATTACAACATTTTATCAACCAAAATATTTAATTTACAACATTTCATTTTATACCAATTTAAAGTTAGGAAACAATTTTTAAATACAGATTTAATACATTCGCATATGCCATATGCGAAAAGTTGATTTTCGCATACCCCAAATGCGAAGGATTAAATTAATTATAATTATCCAGTTTTAATCCAACGTCTTTAATGCATTGTAATTAATCCACTATATTTTCGCATTTGCTGAACGCGGAAGTTGGGTTTTTCGCATTTGCCAAATGCGAGAAACATATTTCTTTCTATCTCCGAAAACCTAGCCATAGTCTGGCTTACACTACCAATTTGGGAGCATATTTGTGTCATTTTTCGCTAAAAATTTTCTCAAAACCTTGACTTCATCCTTCATCCTAAGCCATTTCACAGCTTCAGTTACTATTTCCTGAGTAAAAGTACAGCTGGAGAATAAGTGATCAGTAGGTTGTTCAAGCAATCCCCATAACTCACATTTGACTTCTCGTTGCAAGATTCCCATTTTCATCAATCCTTCTTGAGTCAAAAGTCTATCTTTGAAGGCTAGCCAGCTTATAAAGTTATATTTTGGCAAACTATATGCACTCTATATGATAGATGCATTCACGGCCTTAGGTATATTTCCCTTCATCCAGAGATATCAACTTTTAGATGTATACTGCATTTTTGAATTGCCTTGACAAATACCATCTTGAACACCACTTTTTAGCAGGTTCTTAACATGCATAAGGTTCTTCCAATGCCAATTACAATCATTGGGTGGCTGATGATCCCATAGACTCTTCCCCTTTAAGTAGTAATTATGAATCCACTTTATCCATAGAAATTCTTTTTTACTATGAACATCCCATAATTGCTTCCCTATAAGAGCTCCATTACACATACTAGGGTCTTTTATATGCAATCCCTTACTTTTGCAGACATCATTCTAAGTTACGGTAAGTTACATAGAACCAGCTTTTGTTGGTTTCCTTTTTTTCCCCAGAGAAACACTCTGCAACATTCTTTCTATCTGTTTGATAACCTTCCGAGGAATTAAAAATATGCATGCCCAATAAGAATGAAGACTCAGTAGAACAGAATTTACAAGCACTAGTCTTCCAGCATATGACAAGCGTCTAGTACCCCAAACCTTCATTCTAGCAATGACTTTTTTAGTTAACAATTGGCAGTCTGCTTCTATCCATGTTGTTGGAGAAATTGACACTCCTGAGTACCTTATAGGGAACTATCCTACCTCTTTCCAGAAGCTGCTGAATTTTTTCCCAATCTTCTGAATGCACTCTTCCAATGTATGTTAGATTTCTTAAGATTTACAGACATACCAGTATTCCAACAAACTTACTTAACACTACCTTAACCCTTTGAATTGTTGGGATATCAACTTGACATAAAATGACTAAATCATCTACAAAGCTCAAATTATTTAGTTTAAGTTTTTCACAGTATGGATGGAACTTAAAGCCACCTTTCATAGCTTTGATATTAAACATTTTAGTCAAATAATCTATCACCAGTGCATATATCAGGGGAGACATAGAGTTACCATGTCTCAACCATCTCTTTCCTTGAAAGAATCTAGTACCGACCCCATTCAAATTAACTAAGTGCGTGCAAGTTGTAAGGCACTCCATTACCCACCTAACAAACTTTGAAGGAACCTCATATTAATAAGCATTTCAGCAATGAACTACCAATGAATAGAGCCATATGCTTTCCTTAAATCCACCTTTTATCAAACAAAGAGGGTTTCACTATTTTTCATTTATACAGTCTCATTAATTCTTGAGAAGTAATATATTGTGAGAATTTACCTACCTTGCACAAAGCCCCTTGATTTAACTCCACTATACCAGGCAATATGCTTCTGAGTCTCATACTTAGTAATTTTGAAATACACTTATAAACTATATTGTAGCGAGCTATACTGGTCTACACTTTATTGCATCTCTGGGAGTTTCAGTTTTTGGAACTAATGTGATTAGTGTCGAATCATTTGTCTCAACAATTACCCTGTCTGAAAAAATTTATGAATTGTTGCTTCTACATCTTTCCCAACTAAGAGCATCTCCAACCATTACACTATAATTTACATCAAATTTGGTGCAGAAATAGAATATTCCAAGTATCTTTTTGCACCGAAGTTTTTTGCATTGCAACCTTGATGCACTAAAAAGTCTAAAGGTTAAATATTTTAGTTTAAATTTTATTTTTATGGTTAATTAAGATCTTGTAAATTGGTGGTAATTTTGTGGAAGTTGTTTCTTAATCATTTTATTTGATTGTAGAAGTATCAAGTTTTTTTTAGGAATTTTGTTGCATATTCAATTTTAATAATAACTAAAATTATTTTTTTTAGAAAAAATATTAATATTCAATATGGATCTTATTTTGAAGATCTCAACAAAATATTTAGGAGGTGTTTATTTGTCGGGATTCAGAATCAGGATTCAGACTTGGAATCTAGTTGATTGTTTGGTGAGTTGGAATCGGATTCAATGAATCGGATTCATGATTCATTTTTTAATCCCACCTCCCCATAAGGATTTGATTCATTCGGATTTGAATCGATTTTCTCTCTCTTTTTTTCTGTTTCCTTGACGGCCAACCTTCTTTTCCAAGTTTTTGTGCCTTCAGAGAGGACTACCAACATGACAAACGATCCTTGGGTTGAATCCCATATCTCGTGATTCTTGTATTCAAGCCGCTGGGGAGATTCTTTGCATCGTTATTATACTTCCTCCCTCCTCATCTTATTTTCTGAATAATTATAGATCTCTGATGGATTGGGTTTACTCCATCGTCGTCGGCAACCGGAAATTCCTATTCTATAAGATTTGATGGATTGGCCACAGATCCAATATATGGTTTCTTTATTTCGAGTAGAACTCGTGAGATTCTTGATCGGTTGGACATAATTGAACTGTAGTTTGGCGGCTATTAATTCCGTCTTGCATGGCTTTATTGTAGATCAAATGGAAAAGGGTTTGTTTAGGTTCTTGGTAATTGGTTCGCATATTCGCTATCTTGTGTTGATGAAATGTTGTTTGCATGTGTTTTTGAGGATTAATGGTTTTTTTTTTGTTGAGCCTGATGCGGGCAACGGGAACGGGCATCCACGCAATAACTTAGTAGGTCACCCCAGAAATCTAGGTGAGTCTAGCTCACGAACTCCTAGATGTCCCGATGAACGGATTAATGGTTATGGAGTGGAGGTTGTTGGCCGCACTTGGTTGTTTTGAAGATTAGAAGGCTAGAGTCCCCGCGGTGGGAAATTTTGGGGGGTTGCTGGCGGTGGTAGAGAAAGGAGGAGGGTGAAAAAAATTATTTAGAATTTTTTTGAAAATAATAAATACAATTTAATAAGCAAAAAATATAGTTTCTAATAAACCAAAGTGTACCAAACACTACTATTGGATTCGTGAATCCAACAGTTTTTGCGAATCCAATCCCTCGTCAATCAAATCCATTTCAAAATCCGAATCCAGATGGCTCCTTAAAATGATATTTTTTCACAACATAATCATTTTGTAAATTTAACTAAAGAACAAATATATACTTAGTTCAAAGTAAAAAGATAGTACACCAAAAATATACTAATGAACAATTTATAAAAAAATCTGGTGTAACACTATTTATTACACCAAAATAGTACATTGATTTACGTAGGGGTTCGGGTGTGCCCTAGCACCCCCGGCCGACCGGAAAAATGTTTCGGCCGGCTTGTGTCCGCCTATCGTTGCTGGAAAGCACCCCCACTGAAAAGTTGCAGGGGGGTGGTGCGATGAAGATGATGGGCTTGTATCTTTTTTATTGTTTTCTAAATAAAACGATGATGTTTAATCAAAGCGATGTCATCCTATTCACTCTTTTAATCTCTTTCCTTGAATTTTTTGGACAAATTAAAAAGAAAAACGTGTTTTAAGCCTCTCTCCTATTCAGGAATTAAACCCATGCTCACTCTCAATTTAATCTCTCTTTTTTTTTTCTCTTCACCATCATTGAGTCCTCCTCTAGTATGTTGCCTCCTTCTCCATTTTTTTCTCCGCCAGTGCTTCACTAGGCAACAATCTTAGGTAATCACTTGTTGTGTTTCTACTTTCAATTTATGTTTTTGCTGTTGACAATTTGTATTGGGTTCTCAAATTTAGTACATTTGGTTTAAGAATTACTTTAATTTTATTGTTTCTATGGATTTGAAAATGTAGAAAGTTCTCAAATTTGAATACTTGTATTATATGCACTATACTTGTTTGTTAAAATGTTTCAATCG